CAACCCAGGATTACTCCTTGACCCCAAGAGCAAACATATCAATTATCCCACACTGAAGTCAATGCTAGAAGTTGGATCACCCTTCCCAGATGTGTGGATCCCTGCCTTCTCATTCTAGGTCTCTGAAGATACATTCAATTACCAGAATGGGAAGAGTCAGGGAGCAGGATGCGCTTCTGATACCACCTTCATGCACCTTCTTAGGGAGGTGGGAGAGGTATTGTCAAAAGGCAAAGAGGGAAGCTTTCGAACTGGCTTTGCTTTTGAAATTAGTAACTGGAAAATCAATATGTCACTTCCCTGTCATGAATTAAAAGCTTATGGGCATTATAAATTAAGTATATAGAGGTTAGCCAGTGTTAATAGAGGTCCCCAGGGCTCACAAAACAGTACTTCTCCCAAGAAAGCAATTTAAACACTGTCTCCTCCCTAATGCATATCCTTGAATATTTATTTAGCAGGACTTACTGTAGTAAAAATGTCTCAGCATTGTCCATACTGCTAGTATTTGTGGATTACACTTGCTCAGGCCAGTGTGAATTATAGGCCTAGCTTTGCTCCTTGCAGTAGTGAACATGGACTATATATTGAAAGGGAGTATATGAATTCCCCTGGAATGGGAGCATGAGGTTGATCATGGGTCATATGCTTGTGGTTTCCCAGCAAACTCTTCATACCCCAGAACAGCCAATAAAAATGCGAATGAAATGAAATCACAGCCTGATACTTGGAGTCTAGACATGCTGACCAAACAGCATGCCAGAACACGGGCACATCAGTATGCTCAGAGGCCTGTCCATTCAAAACACCACAGAACTAAAGTGTCAGATCTTGGCATTTGATTAGATCAGAAGGATTAGATCAGTGGTTCTGATTTAGCTAAGTACTATAGACCCCTGGTTTTTCAAAAGTCAAACCATGGACCCCTACTTTTGAAAAAAGAGGTAACTCTGTGGTAGTTTTTCTTATGTGAATGGAACCACATTGCCTTCCAACATGTCACATGACTTGTGCAAGAGCATGGTTCCCCAAAATGTATGTTTTTTGGGTGCTGCAATCTTGTGTGAGAGTACAGGCCCCCCTAAACGGGATGTCCTGGACAGTTGATGGGTAAGTACCACAGACCCCTGGGTGGGTTATGCAGACCCCCTGGGATCTGCAGACCACTAATTAGGAACCACTGGACTAGATGATTTGAGCTTTGTGCGTGTCGTTTCTCATTCTGCGCTGTGCACCCATTTCTCTTTTAAGAGATTCGCCTTTTCTCTCCCCTGCTCAATATTAACCATGGCAGTCGAGTCCTGAACGTGTTTAGTAAATCCCACAGACCTCAACATTTTTTGTTCTTGAGTTTTGGGGTGGGTGTTTTCATTTTGTATTTCTATGGTGTGAACCATCCTGCGATCTCAGATGAAGAGTGGTACGCAAATTTAATCAATCAATCAAACAAACAAACAAACAACAAGGTTTACGCCTTAGACTTATGCTAAAGATTGCAGCCTCAGTTTGCTATAGAGATATATTCATTTCTGAAGAACAACTATAATGAAGACCAAAAAAATGATTTCTGGTGAATTGTGCTGGTAGACAGTTTGTGATAAATTGTCTCTTTTTTGTAGTTTCCTAAACTTTTGGTGTCTTTGTCAAAAGGCTTGAAAAGGAAAGCCTTCTGTTTTAGTGTAAATGGAAAATCTGGATTTGTGATTCACCGGACCATAGCAATTCCTCCCAAGGCTTTACGATCTGTGGATTTCATACAACTGCTGCATAAACATATACTGATATAAATCTTTTGGAAATCTCACTGCACAAAGCTACTGAGTATGCACTGTAGCTACTTCCTAAAATTCCATATCTAGTCATGTCTTTTAGAGGTGGCATAAAAAGGAAAACTCTCCTGGTTTTTCTATTAAATTTAATTACTTTCCCTTACATATTTTCTTTCCCCAGATTGGAGGAAAAGGTGGCTTTTATTTAAACATGAAGAGCTTCAAAAGGCTGAATGCACCTCACACCACACCCAAGCTAAATAGCAAGTATTTGGCATACACTGAAACAGGACGTTGTGGTGTTGCATTAGAAATGTTCCTCAACTTGTATAAATAGTAATTCTAATTATGAACAACTCACCACTCACTAGTGCTAAAAGAAATCATATGTTTTCTACAGTACATTTTTGTGACAGCAAACTAAAAAATGGTAGGAATAAAAGAATGGGCAGCTTACAAATGAGGTTATATACAGTATGTATAATGTGCACTTTGGCTGAATTGGGTTCCTAATCTTAGCTTCATCTGAGCTTTTAATTAAGAGTGTACCTTTAAACTACATAAAGTAAATACAGTGCCTTTCAAAGGAAAATGTGTCCTGTTTGAAATCCCTTTCAAAGTTCCATGTATTGAGGATAGACTAGACCAGGAATATGGAGTATTAATCTTATGAGAATAATGAGATACTATGTACCAGACATTAGGCAGTAGTGATTTTGTCATTCCTTCTTTTGATTTTCCAGTATAGACCCGAACATTAATTGAAAGCACTGTCGAGAAAGACTAACATGACCAAATTAAAGCCTGTCTTACTGCAGCCTGCCTAGAAACATCAATTTTATGGATACCAAGTACAACTTAAGTGCCTGTTATTTTTATACGAAGCCAATTGAGGCTTCTCTGCTGGGGTGAATAACATATGCATGTGCAGGGGTGGCAATTTTCATTGGGTGTGGAATGAGTTTGAACCTCTTCTTCCCCTGTGGCATGGCCTTGATGGGGGTGGGAAGAGAAGCTAGTGCCCTCCCCAACAGTTGCTATTTATACAGGTTTAGTAGGTGGTTGGTAAGAGTGGAATGGATGGTCCCTGAACAAACACTTTCCCTTTTATGAACCTTTCCGCTTACTAAGATATTTTCATGAGGCCCTCCTAGTTGTGTCGCAGTCTGCTGAAGTCTTGCAATGATCTAGATCAGCCACAGGCAAACTCGGGCCCTCCAGATGTTTTGGGTCTACAACTCCCATCATCCCTGACCACCGGTCTTGTTAGCTAGGGATGATGGGAGTTGTAGTCTCAAAACATCTGGAGGGCCGAGTTTGCCTATGGCTGATCTAGAGGAGGGTCTTTTATGTGGCAGTCAGCTTGGGAAACAGTCGCCCCTCAGCCCAAAATCTGTTGAAAAGGACTGCAGCTTAAAGGTAAAATACAAATTAATATGGCTGCAGTCTCACCAACACTATGTTTTGTGACTGGCTAGCCTATAGACACATTAAAAAACAAACAAACCAGGGGAGTCAGGGGAAGGGCAGGAGATCTGTGGCCTGGAACAAAAGATCTGGGGCCCTGCCCCCCCCCCAGGTATTCCCTAACACCGCCCCTTTCTTTCCATGCTTCATTGCCTCTCTGCTCATCTCCTTTCAAACTTATCAGCCTAGCTGCTTTGTTACTTGTTGACTCATTTATTTGTTGGGCTCATTTACCTGCTTAGCTTCACCTCCTCCCAGTTCCTAGAATCATAGAGCTGGAAGGGACCCTGAGGCCACCCAAAAGCAGGACTGTCCACATGCTGGTTCCTACATATCACAGACTAAGGAGACAGTCAAATGTGAGCATGTCACCATAGCTTAGGGCATAAGAAGTAATTCTGATATTAAGGTAAACCCAGCCCACACTGTTAGAAACTGTGTAGACTGAACATGTGTGTGTGCATGCAGGATTGTATCTACTTTCCTCAGTTGTGACTTCTGGGTGTCTATCAGTTCTGTGTGCACAGAGACTATGCATATATAACTTATTACATGCACAGGCTCTCCCTAAGCAACCAAGAACCCAGTTTCCCCCATTTATGTGGAGAGAACTTGTGCAGGTTGTACACATAACAGGGCTGCACGCACATGAAGCTGATAAAGACATGGAGGTTCAGAGTAGGTATGGTGGGCATCCCACACTGCTGCCACACATTTGGCCCACCTTGCTTTGAAAATGTCTCTCCTCGTTGATGTGCTGCTTGGTGGTGCGTTATTGCTGGGTACCCGGAGTGAACAAGGTGCTAGCAATGTCACAAAAGTAGTAGTAGCACGTATGGTAAAGAAAGTAGAATGAAAAATGTAAAAAGGCTCGTTCATTTCACTTTGTCATTAAACAGGTGAATTATCTGAAATAGATCAGAGAAAGGGCGAGGGTATTAACCTTAGGATTAAAAGGTATGATGCCTCCAAGAGAATGGGGTGAAGATCATAAATCTATGCAGGCTGGGAAGAAATGAGATGTTTAATAGAGAATCTAATTGAAGTTTAAAAAATGTCTTGGCTGGTTTGGCTAGTGTCAACTTCAATTATTTGGGTTAATCTTATCCTGGGACGAGAAGAATAGATGTTAATGAAAATCTCCTAAGAGCAGCAGTTTTCCACCCCCAAAGTTCTGAAATTTCTAGGCCAACTGTAGACTGAAGGCAAACATAATTCGAGTCACAAAAAAAGGGGGGCAGGGAAGATTTAAGCAGAACTAAAACACACTACCACCACAATTTCAAGGAAAAACACACCTCATCTAGTGCTTCTTCCAGAAAACAAAATAAAAGAAGAAAAAGGAGTTAGGAGAGCAACATGCTATGTTTGAAATGGTGCAGTTAATTTGGTTTGCTCCTCTTATTGTTTCTGTGCTGCTCTTTCTGCAGATGGACTGCTCATCTCAACAAGGAATAAAACAAAAATAGAAATAGATGTATTGGAGCAGGAGCTCTGATGGCACAGGCATAGCCATATGTGCTTCTTTTCCTAAATCTTATTCCTAGGTGTAGAGATCTATTTTCTTTCCCAATACAGACTGAAGTTGAATCACAGTGAGAAAATACATATCCTCAACATATGGTGATATGGTCTGTTTTCCTAATTGTGGAATGGGCAAAATAATTATAACAATGGCAATGAAATATCTGTTGTCTGTTGGCAGAGTTAGTTGTATTATTTATTTTAGAATGTTCTCTTTCTGTTTTCCTTTCCTTTTTCCAGTTTTTGACTGCAATTTTGAATCGCACTGTGATCTAGAATATTCCCCACCGATGAAGGAGGGACATAACAGATCCTGGCACCGAGTGAGTGCAGATGAATTCTCACGGCTCCATCTTTTGGATGGCCCAGAGAGGGATTACTCTGAAAATTCAGCACAAGGTGAGAATAACAATCTGTATTCACTGAACACGATGGTCGAAGTCTTATTACTCCAGAAGGAATAGGATTTTATTTTGAGCTTATGGTCTGTTTCTCAGCAGGTGTTGGGGCAGATGTGAAATGTTTGCTATGAAAGGTTACAAGAAAAAAAATTACATGACTAATAAGAAGGACATGCAATCTTATGAACAACATTTTAAGTCAATTAGTCTCTGGAAGTGTTACCTGTACAACTTGTACAACCCAAACCAGAACTGATATGTTAATGGGTAGATTAGATTCAAAAAAATCTCTTAACAAGCTGTGATACACATGTGAGGACTTTCCTGTTAGAAAGTGACAAGGCGAATATGTGGTGAAACTTTAAGAAAACAGGCTATTGTGTGATAATGGCAACCACCGAACAAACAGCATAGACATTGAAATCTACCCTAAGATTTTGCTATAACCTCTTTGTTCAAATGTCTTCAGGATCAACACCAGGCCATGGTGTAACAATGCTATTTCCATGCAAGTGTGTGTTCTGAATTCAGTTGCAGGGCTTTAATGCAAATGGCATTCAAATTTCTTGTGACTTCTGACGAAAGCTCCATAATTAAACTTCTAATTATTCGCCAGAGGATCCTAGAGGACAGAACTTAGGATGGTGCCTCCTCCTGGCATGCAGGCAAGGTCCTTCTTCAAATGACCTCATCTAGATGGAGGAGCCATCCGATTCTCCAGACCAGCGCTTCCACTTTGAAGGCTGGGACTTAGCTGTGCTGCTTAAGAGCTCAGCTTCTCCTCTTCACATCTTTCCCCCTCTCACTCTTAAATTTCTTTACCTCTCCATTTTCCTCCTCACGTCTTCTTTGCATCATCTTTTCCCCATCCCATCCCCAGAGGTGGTTCACACCTATTCAGACAGGAGAGATCAACAAGCTGGTCAGCAGACATTAAAATTACTACTTCCCTAGAAGGGCAATGTACTGTGAAAACTCTAGCAGTGGATTCTCCCATGGCTGTGTTTTCTTCCTCTGTGGTCTTCCCTTCAGAAGGAGAGAGGGACCCAAAGGGATGCCTGTGAGAAGCATGTGAAAGTGGTATTATGCAGAGATCTTGAAGCACAGACAGTTGCCTTTGGAGCTTTGGTGTTCACTTGGGCTGTTTTCAGTTTCGTAAACTTCAGATAGCTCCTTGGGGAAGTGGTGGGATTGTTGAGCCATGTGTCATTATAGGGATTAAGTGGTTATCCTTGCTCTTCTAGCTCTCCCCCCCCCCCCCCGCGCACCAGGAGAAGGCACTATCCCAAGTATCAGGGCTGCCCTCTGGGCACTCCTGGGAATAGAAATTCACACTAAGCATTTCTATTTATCTCTTTTCACTCGAAGGAACACCTTTTTCTTTACCAGCCTGTCTCTGGGGGAGACCCTTCTTGTTGTTTCACCACCAGGGGAAGTACATGGTGTCATGACAAGAAAAGAAGTCTTTGGATTGGTAGTGCTTGGCCTCTGTAAAGCCTGCCCCTCAGAAGTGTGGCTGCCACCAATTTTACTTGGATTTCAGTGTCAGTTTAAGTCAAACATTTTGTGCAAGCATTTGGAAGAGGTTAGGTAATGTTACCACTGTGGTGTATCACCTACTGTGTTCAAAATTTGTTTTTGTTTTTTAAAAGAAATGTTGGTATTGACCTGTTCTGTATTTTGTTGATATTTTTGTTGATATCCACCGTGGAATAAGTTTCTACTCACATTACACGCAAGTTGAAATTTGATCATGAGGATGGTATTTGGTGAAGATACTACATTTGTGAACTATCTCTAAGGTGTAAATAATTAGAGCACTGTGGTTTAAGATTGCTCTCACTAACATTTCATTAGCAGGTTATGACTTCAAAATGCTGTGATGACCCCAAAAGGGGAATGGCCCTAAAAGGGTTGCTTTAGGAGTGCTGCATGAAGGCTGTGGAGTTAGATAAGCAGGCTGGGAGTAACCATTAAAATTCCAGGTGAACCCTGACAGAGCCTCTTCAGGAGAACTGTAGTCTTGTGATTCGCAGCTAGCTGTTTCCTTTTCTGTCTGTAGATGATGACTTGAAAAATTTGCTCTTTCAGCGAGCATTTTCCATTCAGTTTTAAATCATTTTGCTTACAGCTGTTTGGCACAGAAGTATTGTGTGTGGTCTGCTTCTATCTTAAATAATTAGGCATAGTAATTTCAACCTCTACTGTTTGTTTCCTGAAAATGTGATTCCAATTAGCTGCCTCCCGTTTCAACTCCATTCATAGATTGTGAGTAGGAGGAGTAAATTTGTCCCACCATCTATTTCTGTTTGAAGATCCTGGTGGGAGACATTCCTAGAATAGGATAACACCTGCTACTGTCTCATCCTAACTCGAATGAGGCATGGACCCTGATTTGGCTCTGGATTCAGGCCTCAGCCAGATATGTATCTCTAGTGGCTTTAAATGAATTCAGTTAAATTGATGAATGTGACTTCATGTGACTCTTGTACAAATCCGTTCACTGGATTTTATTTAGAAGGAATGTTCTCCAGATTTATTGCACCTTCTCCATGTATGCAGATCTCTGTGGGTAACCATTTGTAACTAACTTGCTATGCGGAAAGTGTGATAACTTTCTAATTAGTCAAATGTTTTGGACATTTCCTGAGCCATCATATCGTAACTGTATGATATAAATATTGTTGGTATGAGCAGCAGAAAAATATATATACTTCATCTAAACAGTGATTGTCTTTTTCTCTGAGATGTAAATTTATTTTGTGGGGTTGAAGCTCTCCAAATCTGATGAAGTTACAATAAATGTAAAAGAATTACATGCTCTGTTAGTTAGATACTTCCTTTTTGTTTCTCACAGAGGTACTGAGACGAAAAGGTCACAGGACAAAATGTTCTGGGACCTAGCTAGGCAGTGAGAATATTAGCATTCAGAGACAATGAATTATTGGACTGTAAATGCTTGCTGACTTTAATTTATGGTCCTTTTGACAGAGAAGGATGAGGGAGACACTACAGGATAATAAAGCGATAATCCTGAACAAAATATTATATATTAACATAACTAGAGAGAATAAATCAAGGCATTGGCTTGCAAGAAAATAAGCAACAAAGAAACATCAAGCTTCCTGGAGTGAATATAATAAGAAATACCCAGATAGAAAGATAAAAGGGTACATAGAAGTTGGATAGTTCAAGTCAGATGAGTAACATTGATTGTATTCGGTGCAAAGAAAAGAAACAATGCTGAAGGCAGTAGCCACATATCTGAGAACCAGTTTTGCATAGCTCTCACTATATTTTCAGATGTCGTTCTCAGGACTATTCCCCCTGATATGTAAGATGCTAAAATAAGGAATGGGCAGTGTGCCACTGTGTGAAGCAGCTATGCAAAAGCTAATTAGGAAAGGGACCAACCACAAATATAATAATGGCTTATTGTTATTAATTAATTATTATTATTATTATTAATAATAATAATGATTAAATTAAATTAAATTTCTATATCGCCCTTCAGCCGAAGATCACATGGTGGTCATACACCTCTACGATGTGACCATTCTTGGAATACTGAAAGAATCCTGGGTACTGTAGTTTGTTAAGCATACTTTGAATTGCAGCTCTGGGAGTGGGAAACTACAGTTCCCATGAATCTTTGGGGGAAGCCATGGACTTTAATGGTGTGTTGGAATGTGCTTTAAGTGACTTTGAAAGTGACTCTTTCCTATGTCACTGAGATGCCTTAGCAGCAATACTGACCCAATACATTTTGGCATCTAAGGTGAACCACAAAATGTCCCTCCCCCGCCAGAGAAGAAAGGATGAGTGACAGTCTGCATCAGGAACAAGCAGCGGGGAGTAAGGATCTACAGTGAGAACAAGGGTGGGAGGAGACTATTCTCCAAGAGGCTGCATTGTGGGGAAAGCTGCTGAGGAGGCAGCAGATCTGACCTCCAAGGAGCACACCATAACTGTTGCTGTCACTGTGTCAGCAGTGGGCAATGCATTTCTTGGAGGCCATGGATCTTGCTACTCCATGGATTCTGCTGCCCGAGATGGTAGCCTCACCATGCCTCATGGATAGGCCAGCCATGCTTAGCAGTAAAGACTGTTCAGGACTGAACATTTCTGCTTTGTCTACATAGCACACAATCAGGACAGCTGCATCAGAAAAATGCAGAAGAGCTGGATTTTAAATTTTACCTTGGCATTTGTCGCATTGTTTGCTCTGAGAACCCCATCCAGTGATTTCTCCATGGTCTCATGGTCTCTTCTACATTTCAGCACCTCAGTATAGACCACCTAGAAAGAAATGTAACAATATAGCTTATATAAAGAAAATCTGAAAGGATACTAGCTTCTCCAATAAGGACATAACAGAGGTGTTAACACATGGCAAATGTACCTGGCTTTTTGAAGTAAAATACTGAGGAACTTCCTTTATAGCTTAAAGAAAATATTCACTCTTAAACTAGCTAATTCAGAGGCATTAGTCTCATTAGTGACACAGTGGAAGCTTTGTTAGTACAGCCTTTATGCTCTAATGAGCTTTCTCCAAAAAGGCAGTACCCTTAGATTAACATGTTTAATTTTGCATATGCCTGCTAATTTTGCAATAGGTTTATGTTTATTTAAAATACAGAACTGGGATATGTGTGGGTTAGTCTGCTAATCTTCTTGAGAGGTGTGTGTGTGTGTGTTTGTGTGTTACTTAATTACCTAGAATTTTTGTGAACTGAATGGCTTCTTATATAGAATGAAATGAAAACATTTAGTATATCTAGTATGTCATAAGTATGTATAAATAATGACTTATGTGCCCTTCAGTATGAATCAGTTATTACTGCCTCTTGAAACAATGAGTGGCTTCCATAGATTTATAGGGAAGAGAACAATGCAAAGAGATAGAAACTACAACAAAACAACAACAACAACAACAACAACAACAACAACAACAACAACAACACTCCCCTCTTCTCTTGATGCTTTGATAACCCATGT